GCAGCCCAGGGACCCTGTTCAGGCCCAGTAGGTGTTCAGCTACATGCTGTGGTTTCATTGCTTTAAAGAGAGGCTTTTGGACTCTGCCATTTGTTATGTCCCATGTTGTGAAGCCTTTAGGTGTTGCTGAAGGGAAATTTCACTGTAGAGATGTCAAGATTCTGTGTTTTGAATTTGCAAAAAGTCCATTAATAGACAATATAAACCATGTCTGTGTCTATTCCCAAGAATTTTATAACCTATCTATCTAATACATTGTGAGTCAGGATGTGTTTTTTTCAAGTTCCTTTCTGCTACTGGCGTTATCCTCAGGCAGTCTAGAATCCAGCAGAGTCATAATGTCCATTTAGTCTCTCATTCTTTGCCAAAGCAGCAGCCTAAACTGTACATGGTAGATCTGCCAAGACTAAAAGAGACATGGGAAAACTATCCTGGGTTCGTGTCTCATTGCCTTACTATTCCTGGAGGTTACTGCCATGAGGAACGATAGAGCCAGACACACCGGCCTTGTTCTTACTCTGGGTCAGGCTCTCCCTTCCCCACACTTCTGTTCGTGTGCCTATTTTTCTATTATGTTCTTTGGCGTAGGTAATTTATTAGCACGGATGTTGTTTGTTACTGTCTATGTAACAAGGAGAATAAGCATAGGTTACAGAAGAATACTTAGCACAATGGCTGCTGACATCTTAAAAGAATACATGAGGCTTCCAGAGACACTCTGTAAATCATGGGGCTGCTGGGCCTTAATGTTCATTTACATGGGGTGTGGCCAAGGGCAAATTTATTAAGCAAAGCCTGTCATGATCTACTGTCTTACAATATTTGTGGCCCACGTCCCCCCATTGTGTTGCTCTAGAATAAACAGGCTTTGGCAGCCTTTACACACACACACACACGCACAGGCCAGGAGCCATTTTGAGAGCCAGGGAGTGCAGGGGTGTCATTCAGTACACGCTGTCAGAGGCTGAGGTGGCTCCTGTCTTTTCAGCTTCTCATTGTGGATGGTCAGGAGCTGAGACACAGCTCTGCCTCTGTAATGGACAATATCCAGAAGGTCTTGGGAGGTACACCCCGCTCTTCAACTACACCCAGGCCCTCAGGTAGGGAAACTGTTTTTGGGAGAATGCTTTCTTAGCCAAGTGTGATACTAATAAGCACTTGATTAGAAGAATGCTTATTTCTGACTACAAGACCTGCCAAGGTTTCAGAGGTATGCCTAACCCTAAAATTAGGTTCAGATAGCACGAGGTGCAGGCATCATGACTTAGTCTTTCCAGAAATAATAGGGGAAGGGGTGTTTTTTGGCACTGTGATGGAGAGAAGCATGAGTTGCTCACAGCAGTAATTATGATGTTTTCCGTCTGGTCTTTGTGGTTTCAGAAAAGGTGCTGGAATTATTAGCACTCCTTATGCTTTGTGTATGCCTACATCTGACAGAAAGTAGAGGCAGTATGATAAAAAATGCGTGATGAGCTGCTCCTGTCTTGAACTAGATGGAGATTAGGGACACATCGCACAGTTTTGAGGTAAAGAGCCTATTATTAGAGAAGAAGACGTGGACTTGAAAGGTGCCAGAGCTGTGTTAGGAAGCGTTAGCAGAGGCACTACCTCGCTGCTACTGAGTTGAAGGATGTTACTTGGCCGTTACTGTGATCTTGCCCACCGTGCAAATGCAATTAATCTGAACAGATTAAGTGCTAGCTGAAAGGGCACTGTGGCCCTATCAGCTATAGTGGAAAGTCTGCAAACCCACTGGCAATCCTGAATATTGCTCTTTGCAGCCGAAACCCCTGTTTTCACATCATCTCTGCTGTCACAGCCTGTGCTGGCTGAGGGTTAGTGGGCAGGGTTGTGTGTATGTAGACATTGGCACTTGCCCTCTCCTTTAACGGTAAAGAGAGGAGAACCAATTCATTTCTCTTCCTACAGTTGTTTTCCAAGGGGGTGGCACATGGCTCCCCAGGGGAGGGCAGATTTAGAGAAATGTCAGATTACTTGAAAGCCTTACTTGCTGAAGCACATGTCATGATGGGAAACGGACCATTTACAGTAATGGTAGTGGCTGGTGCCCTAAACCGGGGCCAGAAAAGAAATGGTATGGGGCAGCTTGCCTCAGAGTTTAGCAGAGGTACTTGCTCAAAGCTCAGGCTCACCTTTGGCCAACTGAGAGGACAGGACAGACAAAACCAGATATGGTCTATACCCACTTTAGCAAGAGAAGAAACGCAGATACTTTTAAACGGTCAGAGGATTCTCAAACAAACACCTTCCAACTATAAGGTGGAGATTTAAAAGACTTTACATATACTAAACACAATGATTATTATTCCACACCCCCCCAGCTTTAACAGACAAATAGTGTAACACCATATTACCTCTTAAATTTGCATAAAGCTGAGAGAGTCATGGTTGAAATGGATTTCTTTTCAAAGTAGAGTACTAAAAAAAAATAAATTGAACCAATACCATAAATAAAACCTAAACCAAATTTTTACAGCATTGAAATGGGAACTACCTGTGGAGCTACTTAATTTCTGCTAATTGGGCATGCGGCCATATTTTTTAAAGACAAGTGTCCTTTTCAGATTTGATGAAGCAAAAGGATTTTGGTGCCAGCTGCTAGATGGAGGAAAGACTAAATGCCTAGGAAAGAGTAAAGGAAGAAAATACCCTGATATGGATTCCTCGGTGAGTAACTGTCTCAAATATGTTGGCAGCAAGAGATGTAGAAACATCCCAGCAAACCAACCTGGATTTTCCTACCACCTCTGTCCTAGATGACCTATGGACCATGTGTTGAGGGTAACACTTTCTTTCACACTAATGTGATCTGTATTTTCCATGCAGTCACGGCTGTTCCTAAGAGACTTCTACCGGGAGCACAACATTGAATTATCCAAGCTGATGAACAGACTTGGACAGCCCCTTCCAACCTGGCTCCGGGAGGAACTGCAGAACTCCAGCTGGAGCTGAGGGGGACTCCCTTGCCCCCAGTGTCATTGGGATGTGTGGTGCTCCAACACGTGCTATGATGCCATCTCTTGTCAAGCCAAAACAAGTGGACAAATGAGCAGGAGCAGAGAATGTGGATGTGGAGCCTTTCCCCACCTGTGGGAAGGGCTGCTGCCTCTGACTCTGCCCTGAGGCATGGAGTGCAAGTCATGTTCTTGAGTATTAATGGTGTGCTACACTTTCACTTTTACTTACAGGAAGGATTTGGAATGCCTGCCCTACTTGGAGCAGGGGAGAGAGCACAGTTAGCAGTTTGTTCAAATTACTCAGTATATCGAACAGGCACTAGCTGGAGGGATAACGTGTTACTCCTCTGAGTCCAGAAGTAAAGACTTAAGAGGGGAGCTATTGAGCCCACTGCTGAGAAGAACTGCAGCAGCTTAATAAAAGGGGAACCTAGTCCAGTGAACCCCAGCTTTTATCCAGTAGCCTATTTGGCAGCAGCAAGGTACAAGAACACCTTGTTCTTCCCCACGCTGAGTACAGTGGCCGTGATTGTCGCTTACAGTGCCACTGTGTGTGGCCGTTGGGGACTGCACCTTCTTGGAGACAGCTGTAACAGACATAGGATTGCCTCTCCTTACCTGCAGCACCGGTGCTGTGATACCCCATCCAGTGACTGGGCAGTGGGAGATAAGGCAAAGCGGAATCGATTTGTTATCCTGGGGAAAAGGTTGCCATATGTGGTAACAGGGCAAGTATTTCTCTGCAGGGACTTTAGACAGTTCAAAACATAGCCAAGGAGCAGTAAGTCCCCTTAGAGCACTTTGGAGGCACATGTTAGTGCAGCACAGCAGCTGGGGGAGGCAAAGCTCAGGTATTATAACATAAGGCTGATGATGCAGCTGAAAGCAGGCAATTCAGTTCCCCATATCTGATCAGCTTAAAAAAACAAAACACCCAACATTTTTCTCTTTCTAACAGCTCCAGGGCCCCTACCACTTAAGTAGCATTCAGATATAAAGGGAAGGCTTGGAGTTCGAAGTGGCTTCCTGTATCCAAAAGGGGCTGTTTCCTTTACTACTTCTGCACATAGTCAAGTGAGTACACTAAGGTGCTTGGCCTCCTCCTGCAGTTGCCGGATAATTGTTCTCAGAGGAAATCCTCCATCGTGGTTGTACATGTTTTCTGTTGCTGAGCCATGGGCTTCTGGAGTTGTGCAGGCCATCATCCCTCCCTCGCGGGCACCAGCCATCCTTGGAGAGTGCTGCAGTTCAGAGAACAGAGGGGCAGGATCCATATGAACACGGATTATGGAAACTTCCACAACTGTCATGAGCTCCTTTTCTCCTATCCAGAGAGAGGTTGCTTCAACCAAGCTTTTCCATTGAGCCTTAGGTATTGTGTATTTCCGAATGAATGGTGCATTTACCGTTGTATGTAAATGTATATAGTATGCAATATAGTATTTTATTTCACATGCCCTTGGAAAGGGTTATTTTGTGCAGCCAAAAAAAAAAAAGGACAGAAAGACTAGAAACCCCTCTCTCACTCCTGTTAGAGAGAAGAGCCTGGCTTCCTGCACTGGATTCATGTATAGCATCATTCACATTGAATGATAATGAAGAAATTCTTGGCTCTTGAAGCTGAGCACAAGTGTCTGAATAAAGGCTAGAAGTAGTAGTAAGTGGAAATTCAATAAATGTACTACTTATTTTTCTTCTTTGTGATCATTTGGAGTGATGTCATGGACCTTAAGCTTGGTAGAAGGGTAAGAAAAATTGAAAAACCAACTGCTCCAGGCCTTACAGTTGATATTTGGGAGGGCAACAAAGGTGTTAAAAGTCCTGTTTGTAACCACACAGAAACAGTGTCCTGAGGCTCCTTTCTCTGCAAGCGCACCTGCAGGCTTTGCTGTGCACCTCCTGTCCAGGTGAGCAGACCTCCAGTAATAAGCAACCTTACACTCAACTGCAAGCAAAACACTGTTGAAGTAGTCAAGGTTATGACAGCTTTGTAAAACAGCCTTACAGCTCACGCTTCACAAATAAACACAGCAGCAGCAGCGCAGCTACTTTTACATGCTGCCACAGGAGGATCCCAGGACCAATGCTACTGATGCTTCATTAAACACAGTTTCCCACTCTTAATCCATTACAGGCTGTCACTTACTTGCACAATTACTTCACGCTTTACTATGGTACATCTTCAAGGAGCTGGCTTCAAGCATTTAAAAAAAATTAATCAAGGTACCAGGAATAAATGTTGGGACGGGCTCACTAAATGTGAGGGTTATTTTACTGGCAATAGTCCTTCCATCAAGGCAGCAAAGGGCAGCTGTGTATTCTCACGATTTACTCTTTTCCTCCCCCCCATTGCTTCATTTCTACACTATGCTTGTTCTTACTGCTTGTGTTAACAGTGAACAAATCACCTGCTGTGGTCAGATCCAAATGTATCTGATTTAACTGATGAAGTAATTTTCAAATCTGGTAACTCCCTCTGACAGCAGCACATTGCTGCTTACCCTCTTTCCAGCCATCCATTCAAAGCTGTGGAAGCAAACACCCCCTCCCCCAAGAGGTGTTACAGTCAAAAAGCCAACAAAACCACCTTTTCCAGTGAGCTACACTGGTTATTAGGTACTGACCCATTTGGCACTTACAGGGCACAGACCCTCACACTTTATTTCCACTACTGAAATGAACCTCAACGTCTTACCTCACTGTTCAGTAACAGAAGGTCACAATGAGCAGCAGTTCATGTCCAAGACCAGGAGACAAGTAAGCACAAAACATTACCTGAAAAATTTTTTATAATGTATTAAAAGTATTTTTGTAGTCTGATGCCTAGGAACCTGACCTATTCAGAAAGGAATACTTTGACCAGGGACCAGAAAGGCACGGGATGGTAATAGCAACAGCAGCCAGGTCCTGTCTTTTATTTTTTGGAACTGGAAGGGTGCACAGAAGGTGAGAACTGGCAAAATGAACAATAGGAAACTTTTTTTTTCCTTAATACCATCAGAGAGAGAGTGTGTGTACCAACCTCAGACAAACACGTTCAGTGTATGAAGCTGGAACTTCCACTCGCACACACACACAGAGCATTCGATCAGGAAAATACTTAAAAGTAGGCTACTCCCTTTCTACTAGGTACAGGAAATACTGGTACAAGTTTCAACTGTAGGGTAGAGACCTTCTAAGGGAAGTGGGAGAACATCTCCATAGGTGGCAGCATATAGCAAATCTATATTAAAAAAAAAAAAAAAATGTAGGTGGCAGCATATAGCAAATCTACATAAAAAAAAAAAAAATCTGATTGCTGACCACTGCAGTTTTCACTTGATGACGGCACCGCAAAGGCACATGTTCCTGGCAGCTGCTGGGAGTCAGGAGGACACACAGGATCTAGCGCTATGCCGCTAACGAGCAACTTCATCAAACTCACCCTGAGAACTTCACACTCGGTAAGAGACTCCCTTGATTCCTTGCTGGTCATTTTGCTGTAGCAACAGTAGCACATCAAGAAAAGCAATGGCAAATGGACCTGACCATGCCAAATCTGACACAAATCTGCTTGTCTCCCCCTTGCTGAAGCCTGAGTGGCTCCTGGCTGAGACAGTGCAGCTGCAAGCAGGACACCAAGACAGCATCATCACACACACACACATATATGCATGCGTGTGCACACACAAAAAAGTGTTTTCCAGCCAGCTACCTCAAGCCAGGAATAAAAGTTCCCATCACACAGCAGGACATGGATTGAGCACTGGGACTGCCTCGCCAGTTACCAGGGCTTTACCTACAGTTTTGTTTCTTTCCCCTTCTTAAAGGCATGGGGGGTGGGGTGTAAACACTGAGCATTTTTAAGATTCCAAACTAACACTCACCCCCCGAGCAAGCTGGTTTTGCTACCAAAAAACTAGTCCTGACGCTCTCATTTGCACTGCTCTTGAGAACTACGTAGAAATAATTTATTAGTCAATCTATTTTTGGCTTTAAAGAGTGGTTTCCTTCCAAGACTCTGTTTCTCCCTGGTCTCATCTATCTAGTCTTAGCGACTTCGCCAGTCTCTCCACAGTGCTTGTGACCAAGCACATACGTAACGGTGACACCGCTCCAGCACTCTGCAACCAAGCTCACCTTTATTTCACTTATGATCACAGAGGAGCATAATGCAGGCCCGTCTCACAATCCCCCAGTCGGTCAAGTCCTTGGAAAAGCTGCATTTCAGGACTGAAAATAATGTGTTGACACTGAGGCCCTGCACAACAGCTGCCCTTTCCGCCCCAAACTTCCTGACAGAGGTGCTCTCCTGGCTGACTTAAATGAGGCAAAGTAAAGCATGACATGGAAGGAAATTGTGGGAGCCCCGTCCCCATTCGTCATGCACGCCCTGTCCACATACTATCTACAGTAGACTTCTACTGCATTTCCAGCATTTCCCCCTTCCTCTACGGCGGCACACAGCCCCTCTGTGGCAATAAAGGAATTGAGCAGTGCAGCCTGTGCAGCATTATGAATGCTGTAACTGTAAGCAGGCAACACCAACAAGAAAACCAAATCACTTGCTTACAGTCACTGTCTTTATGCCAAGAAGAGATGCTATACAGCAGTGACGTTACCTTCTGACAGCACCCAGCGCTTGCCTTTGGTCATTACCACTGAGAAAAAACATTAACTTGTCACAGGCTCAAACAGAAACCCTAGCACAGAACAGCCCCAAGCTGCACTTCAACTTTTGCAGATTAATGCCGTGCTTGGACAGGCATCTCCCCCACCCTGCCCAAGTGCATGGACCCTTAAAATGGAAACAGTTCAATCTTCAGTGCCAGCAGGACAGTGAGAACCAGCCTACAGGTATCTTTGCAGTAAAGCCATCAGCTGCTTCTCAGTTGGTTTCATCTGCACCTGTACAAATTTGACTTCTCTAAGTCCCCACGCTGAAGTGAGCTGTTCTTTCCAGAGACACTAGCAGCTAAAAGGGAAAGTGTATTTCCTGTGGTCACAGGAGGAAACAAATCTGGCAAGCGAAGCAAGTCATTGTGAATGGAAGAGACGGGGAGAAGTACCATGTAAAGACCTCATTCACTGTACTTTCACAGATGGAGAGTGAATTAGACTTCACCAAACATGACACTAATCCACTGCAAGGTCTCCCACCACAGAATATCATCTCTCTTCATGCAAGTGGGGGCCAGGCCCTATCCAGACAAAATACCTGTAGCTATTAGTACTGACTAAATTCAGCAGTTGCTGCCCAGCCTGGGGAGAGGTGGTAGCCAACACAGAAAACAACCATTTCTATACTAGAAGAGCTCTAAAGCATCCAGCTGCTGTGGCAGGCGG